ACTTGAACTTTTTTTCTGTAAGTTTGTTATCAACATTCCTTAGCATTCTAAAGACTTTTCCAACACCAAAAGAAATGAAACATGTGATTCTACCTCTAAGACCAGAAGCGTCAAATGCCATAGTTTGGTCCTTCAAAATATTCTTAAATTCTAATCTTTCTTAATAATCCATTCGAGAATTTTCCCAGGAATCAGACCTCAAGTTTATAGACGTAAAGTTTGCACATTCTATTCTCATCATATTTTGAAAATCAGGACAACACTTGCCCTTCTCCAGGCTGGCAGTACCTTTCCTGTTTTCCACAATCACGGCAGCTTGGCTATTCCATCTGCCAGTTCATTTAATCCCTGAGGCTGTTGTTCATCTGGGCCACATGACTAATTCAGCCAGGGCAGCTCCAGAGGGGTTCTCTTACTATATCTCCCTACTTCTCTTGGGGATTTGAATGGCCCTCTTAGCCATATTTTCCTGTCATGTTGTGGAGGTCATTCTCCCCGACAGAGGAAACAAGAAATCAATGTTTTACCATGTAAATTGATTCGTGAGTTCCCTGTGCATCCACATTGACTTTAGAATTGTTTCCCTGTGTGTTTTGGGAGCTTCATTCTCAAGAAGTTCCTGTCCTACCAGGCTTGGCTTCCCCCATAGAATTTTGGTTCATGGGATCCTACCTTTTGAAATCTGCTGTCCTGAAATTGTATGGGCATTTCAGATGACCTCCAACTTTCTTTACCTTCTCTTTCACAAACTTTAGGTGGGAACAGTCTCTTCCCCACAAGTTTCTCATCATTTCCACTCCAGAATGTAATTTTTCCTTGTTGATTCCTCTAGCTTTGAAGTATCAGATTATCTTGAAGGCAAGTTGAGGAATGATTAGCTGCATTTGACAGAGCAATGTCTGAATAATTGAAATCTTCCATTATTGCTCTATCTTTCCTCTGTCTTGAGCTTGTGTTCTCAACGTGATTGGCAGGGCACTCCATTGTCTAGGATTTGTTCTGTGAAGTTTGGATTCAGTCAAAAGGCTGCACTTGAGGACCTAGAGGGCCACATGTGGCCTCAAGGCCTCTGGTTCCCCACCCCTAGACTCTAGATCATTTCTGTTTTTCTCTATTGGTCTTCACCCAAATGTTCTCCACTATGATTCCTCCTGTTTCTTGAATTTCCTCACATGAGTTTATCTTCTTAATATACAATGTATATTATATATTACAATACACAATGTATATTAAGAGTATATCTTCCTTATTTTCTCACTTTATTTTTCTGGCTTTTTTTTGCAACATGGCTAATATGGAAATATGTTTTGCATGATTTCACATGTATAATGGGTGTCATATTGCTTGCCTTCTCAGTGAGTGAGGAAGAGACTAGAGAGAGGGATAGAATTGGGAACTCAATTTTTTTAATGTTTAAAAAAAGAAATAAATCATTTTTAAAAAGAAATAAATTAAAAATAGAAAGATAATATCTTCTAACTATACTACCCCTATCTTCCTCCTCCCCACCCCCAGTGCTATTTACCCGTCTTGGGTTTTTTGAATAAGGTACATTCCTCCATAGCCATATTCCAATCATGAATTCCCTTCCATCATTTCTCAATGATACCTATGTGTCCAGTTGCCTCTTTACATTAAGACTGCTAGTATTTCTTGCTTGTTGAATAAACTTTCATCACTTGTGTATACTTGTTTGAGGACAGGGCTTTTATTACTGGTTTCTTTCTTGGAATTTATCTCCTGTGATCTTCTCGGTGTCTCAGATGGTATTCTTTGTCCTTTATTGTCACTGGTCTCTCAGTAGCTAACGTGGTGTGTATACATAAGGAGTTTTCTCTTCTTTCCAGACCACAATGCAATAAAAAAGTGTAATCAATAAGGGAAATCTGAAGAAAGGATTTGGCCTCAAATGGCAACTAAACAATTTAATCCTAAAGAATGAGTGGGGCAGAGTACAAATCAAAGACACAATATATAATTATATCAAAGAAAGTGATAACAATGAGATAGCTGGCCTGCCAATTCTTAGGAGATATGACCAAAACAGCTTTTGGGAGAAATCTTGTCTCTAAATACTTTACTTACATTAACAAGAGAAAGAAAGAAGATGTCAATGAATTGAAGATGCAACCCCTCAAAAAACCCCTAGAATTCAATAAATAACCTCCCAAATAAACCCAGGAATAGAAATTCTGAATATAAATGAAGATATAAACCACATTGAAAACAAAAAGCTATTGAGATAATCAGATGACTAGCTAATTTTCTTTAAAGACCAATAAAATAAATAGACTGACCATTAGTTAATTTGATTTCCACCCACCACCCAAAAAGAGACCAGATTACCAAAATTCAGAAATGAAAGCATGAGGGGACAGCAAATTAGGAAGAAATAAGGGAACTCGTCCCAAACTGTTATGCCTAATTATGTGCCAACAGAACTGAAAACTTAAATGAAATAGATGAACAATTTTTTGAAATATAAAATACATAAATAAAAATAAAATTAACAAAATAAGATTTTTTTCCCCAAAATAACCTGGTCTCAGAAACAGAAATTGAATAAGTCATAGATTATTCCTAAAGTGGAAGTGGGGGGACCCTGTGCCTCGATTAACTTATTTAAGTGAATTCTATCAAGCATTTCAAAAACAATCAATCCATATCATCAGTCAATAAGCAGTTATTAAGCACCGACTACGCTAAGTGCTAGCGATAGGAAGAAATGCAAAAGATAGTCCCTCCTCTCGGGGCTCACAGTCTAATGAGGAAAACAACATGCAAATAGAGACAGGATAAATTGGAACATTGTAAGTCAGAGACACCAAGTAGTTTGGCACTCCCCCAAAGTGTCTTTCTTCTCTGAGAGGAGTCCAATAGACTCTTTGAAGCCTTTGTTCATGGACTTCAATGAGTCTTTCGCCCTGTATGCAACAACCCACTCCAATGACCCCAAAGACATCAGCACTTGGATCGAGGCACTCTAACATACGTTGTTGTTGTGGTGTTGTTCAGTTGTTTCAGTTGCGTCCGACTCTCTGTGACCCCATTGGGGTTTTCTTGGCAAAGATACTAGACTGGCTTGCCATTTCCTCATCCAGCAACGTACATTGTTAGACATGGCCAGTGCTTTGGGTTGGTTCTTCTTGGTTGCAGGGGGTAAGTTCTATTGGTGATGAGGAGGAGTCATTGGGAAGTAACAATGATGAAAGTAAAAAACATCAATAAGATATTATTGGCTGGTTGATTTTTGTTTTTTCTAAAAAGTAAGTGACATTGAATGACATGAGTTTGAGGAGAAGAGTCCCTAGGATGCAGCTGCTGGAGAAGAAAATGGCTCTGTCTATATGTCCATATGGCTAAAAATATCATTGATGTGTCTTTGGTATTTGTGTTTATTCTCTTTGGGATTAGATAGAGTTGGGAAAGTAGATACATGAATTGATAATTTTTTATATCATCCCAGTCACCCTTTTTTCAATAGTAATAAGGTCCATCCCACTCCCACCTCCAAGTATTTGTCATCCTTTCCCTTTATCAGATCAGTCCCTCAGAGCACTCAAAACTATATTATTGCTAGCATGTACCATCTCTGTGCTTTTGTGGCCTAGCCCAACTGCTCGTCCTATCTTTGTTTTCTTCAGTGCTATTTTTATTTCCTCATGTAGCACATTAAGGCCTATGATGTTACAGTCCAAATGTAGCAACTGCATTGATTGCCATTGATAGAGAAACTAGTTTACTATAGAAATCTTGACAGATCTTTTCCATTTTTTGTTTTTTCATTGACCTTCCAGTTACATTCTTCAGTGTTTGGTATGTGGTTGTTTTTGTTGTTCAGTTGTGTCTAACTCTTTGTGATCCTGTGGACCTCTGTCCTTTGTGTTCTTGGTAAAGATACTGGAGTGGTTTGCCATTTCCTTCTCCAGTGGATCACCTTTATGTCAGAATACTCCATTATGACCTATCCATCTTGGGTAGCCCTGCACAGCATAGTTCATGGTTTCATTGAGCTATGCAAGCCCCTCCACCTTGACAAGGCAGTGGGATCCATAGACAAACAGAGGTTAAGTGGCTTGCCCAAGGTCATACTGCTAGGAAATTTCTGAAGCTGGATTTTAACCCAGGACTCCCTGACTCCAAGCCCAGTACTCTATTCCCTGAGCCACCTAGCTACCTCGAGTGTTTGGTATAATCTGGCCTAAACCAATTCATAGGATCATAGTTGGGTCTGTTGCTAAGCTTTCTGAAAATTTGTTTTTTCCTCTACTTACTGCTGTTTTATAAGGCAAAACTGCTAATGGTCTTCCATCATCTTTTATTAGATTTTACAAATGAGTTTGTCCCTCTAAACCAATATTGAACTTGGCTGCCACATCTCTTGTAGGGAGATTAAATGTTTTCTAGTCCTTTTTGGCCTTTTCTTTGTGGTAATTGATTTATTTCAGTTAAACTTCCTTAGAAAATTGTGACAGTCTATGTTGATATTTGTTCTGTTATCCAGTTCCCATTTTTCAGCATCAGCAGCTTGCTTAAATAAGTCAAGTTGGAGTTGCATCAATTTTCTAGCATGTCTTCTCCTTGTTATCTAATTTGGAAGTGATTTTAATACTTGCTCAAAGCATTTAATAGTCTACTATACATAGACTGTTGAGGTTTAGAAATGACTACCACATTGTTTGTTAACCAGTCACCAACCACCAAAATATAATCAATTTTAGTTTTTGTGTTATTTGACACTTGCCATGTCTGACACGTCCAGTTTCCATCATATAGGTGTACCTTCTGTATAATCAACAAGCCTTTGCTCCTTCCCATGTTTCTAGCCCTAAATCATGTTTTCTAGCACTTTTTCTCTCATCCTTCCCTTTGCACTGATAACACAATTAAAGTAAAGAAGGATTTATTTTGGAGACTCTTGCCCCAGGTTGGTCTGCCAGTGGTCGTTTTTGCCAGTTGCCTGGCTCATAACCACTCTTGCTGTGTTTTTCTCCTCTTAGCTGTGGGTGAACCAGGAAGACGGTGTGGAGGAAGGGACCAGTGAGGTACAGAATGGGCACCTGGACCCCAATGCCGACTGCCTCTGCCTGGGCAGGTCACTGCAGAACCGGGACCAGATGCGTGCCAATGTCATCAATGAGATCATGAGCACCGAGCGTCACTATATCAAGCACCTCAAAGACATATGTGAGGTAAGCTGAGGATGCCCCATGGGTGACAGAAGGTCAGGGACCTCCTGAATGGGGACATCTGGGCTCACTTACCAGCCCTACCTTTCCTTCATACCTGAAGTGAGACATTATCATTTTCTGGAGGCAATGGTTATGGTGGAAAGAGCTAGAGGACCTGGGGTTCAAGCCTCAGCCCTACCAAGTCTAGGTGTGACTTTGGCAACAAAACCTAACTTCCTTGATCCTTAATTTCCTCCTCTGTATGAGGATAAGAGGTGGGAGAAATGTCCTTTTTACAGTAAATTGTTATAGAACTATGAATTATAATTATTCTCTGTGCATCATCTTCCTCATTTGGAAAATGGAGACAATAAGAATTACCCTTGCCTGGAGCAAATGTGCAGGTCCATCTGGGGCCTTGGAATGCTATGGCCTGGTTCTCTTTCCTCTCCCAGTGTGATCTCTCAGGCCAAAGGTCATATATAAGCTCAGGAAACCACAGTTCTGTTCCAGGGGCTCCTTTCCTCCCCAATTAATAATCAATTTATTGATTAGGCTAACTGATAAGCAATCAATTGATGCTCAGTGTTTTCTCTCAGTAACCAAAGACAAAACCATGGAGATCACTGAATGCTTAAATACTTTTGGAAAAGTTGGTGCCCCTGATAGGTGAAAATCAACCCTGATTGGTGAGCAGTTAATGAGGGGGTGGATATATTACTGAGGAGGTAGGCTAAAAGTCTTCAGCTCCTTCTACTGAGAATGTGACTTGATCATGGGACTTAGCCCCCTCCAGCAATCTGAACAAAGGAATCTGGTTCTACCCAGAGCACTTTGGTTGGTTTTCTCCTTCATAATCTGGGTTCCCCTAGACTCCATTGGAGGGGTACAATGACATGGCTCATTTTAGGAAATGAGGGCTGGAATTCACCTAGACTACATTCTATTTACACTCTAAATAGAAATAAGGTCTTCTAGTTGGTTGGGGTCCTGCCCAAGATTACAGAGCAAGCACCCAGAAGATTTGTGCAATCCCTTGCATTAGCAATGTCCTTCAGAGACTGACTGACTGATCTGTGGGAACTGGTCCCTAAATGAGGAAATAGATAGGAAAAATCTCAATCCTAATTTAATAATTGGTTATTAATACAATAGAAAAATAATCACTTCCTGCACCTGCCTTGGCCTCTGTCTGCATACCTCTATCGAAAGAGAGATGCATTTGGAGCCAGTAGGCCCCAGTTTGAACACAGGCTGGCTCCTTCAGTTTTAACCTTGAATTCCTGTGATCTGGATGCTCAGGTAGGCACATACATCATTTAGCAGGGGATTCTGGACATGAGGGCAGGCATAATGAGCCATCCCCCAAATCCCCTGACCCAAGGCCTAGGTGTTTTTCCCTCTCTCTCCAAACTGCCCCCTGCCTCCTCTTCTAGGCCTTTGCTTCCTTCTTTCTAACTAGCCAACGGTTAACAGCTCCTGTTTCTTTAACGCTTCCCAGTTTGCAATAACCTGATTCCAAGGCACCTTTCTATGTATGGTTCTAAAAGACAGGAGAACCACTGAGCTCCATTGGTAGAGAGAGTTTTTCCACTAAGAGTTCCCTATACTGATGAAATCACAGGTTGGCCCCTCATCCATTTGTTGTTGTTGTTGTTGTTGTTTTTTCCATTTATTTAAACATTTTTTTCTTTTTTAAATTTTGAGTTCCAAGTTCTCTCCCTCCTTCCCACTCCCTCCCACACCCACTGAGAAGGCAGGCAATATGATATCAATTATACATGTGAAGTCATGCAAAACATATTTCCATATTAGCTATATTTCAAAAAAAGCAAGAAAAATAAAGAAAGTGAAAAAAATTGTGCTTCAATTTGCACTCAGAGTTCATCAGTTGTCTCTCTGGAGATGGATAGCATTTTTTCATCATGAGTCCTTGGAAACTGTCTTGGATCATTGTATTGATTAGAGTAGCCAAGTCTTTCACAGTTGATCATCATTAAAACTTTGTTGTTAGTATGCACAATGATCTCCCAATTCTTCTCACTTCACTTTATATCAGTTCATATAAGGTCTTGCTCATGTTTTTCTGAAACCACCCTCCTCATCATTTTCTATAGCACAGTAATGCAATGCTGGTTTAGCCATTCCCCGATTGATGGACATCCCCTCAATTTCCAATTCTTTGTCACCACAGAAAGAGCTGCTATAAATATTTTTGTACATATGGGTCCTTTTCCTTTTTCTTTGATCTATTTGGGATACAGACCTAGAAGTGGTATTGCTGGGTCAAAGGGTATGCACAATTTTATAGCCCTTTGGGCATAGTTCCAAATTGTTCTCTGGAATAGTTGGACTAGTTCACTACTCCACCAACAGTTCATTAGTATGCCAATTTTTTCGCTCATCCCCTCCAGCATTTTTCATTTCAGATAGTTGTGAGGTGGTACCTCAGAGTTGTTTTAATTTACATTTCTCTAATCAATAGTGATTCAGAGCATTTTTTTTTATGTAACTATAGATAGCTTTGATTTCTTCTTCTGAAAATTGCCTGTTTATAACCTTTGAACATTTATCAATTGGGGAATGGCTCTTATTTTTATAAATTTGACTAAGTTCCATACTCAGCATATATTTGAGAAATGAGGCCTTTATCAGAGAGATTTACTGTAAAATTTTTTGATATTATTTCATTGTCTGTGGCATCTTGTAATAATAATGTATAATTGCATAATATAGTTTCCTTGATTATCTTTTTTAATTTTTTAATTAGGTCTGTTTTTACTTTTGCATTGTCTGAGATCATGATTGCTATCCCTGCCTTTTTTACTTTGGCTGAAACATATTAGATTCTGCCCCAGTCCCTTATTTTTACTCTGTTTATGTGTCTCTGTTTCAAGTGTGTCTCTTGTAAGAAACATATTGTTAGATTCTGGTTTCTCATCCATTCTGCTATCTGCTTTCATTTTATGGGTGAAGTCTTCCCATTCACATTGACTGACTGTATTTCCCTCCATCCCATTTTCTTGTTTCTCCCCCCCTCCTTTTTATCCTGTCCCTCCTCAAAAGTCTATTTTGCTTCTAACCACTGCTTCCCTTAATTTGCCCTCCCTTTTATTCCCCCTTCCCCCTTTCTCATATACCCTTTTCCTCCTATTTCCCTATTGGGTAAGATAGATTTCTATACCCAACTGAGTGTGTGTATATATTCTTCTTCCTTTGAACCAATTCTGATGAAAGTGAAATTCAAGTATTGCCCATCCTACCCCCCCATTTTCTCCTCCATTGTAAAAGCTCTTCCTTGTGTTCCACTTTTATGTGTGATAATTTTCCCCATTCTACATCTCCCTTCTTACAGAGCATCCCTCTTTCTCACCCATTCATTTTTTTTTTTTTTTTTGGAAATCATTCCAACTGTATCAACTAAATCCTATGTCTTCTGCCTATGTAACCTCCTTTTAACTGCCCTAGTAACTTAGGAGTTACATGTATCATCTTCATAATGTATCATATTGGAATGTAAGCAGTTTAACTTTATTGAATCCCTTATGATTACTCTTTCATGTTTACCTTTTTATGCTTCCCTTGAGTCTTGTGTTTGAAAGTCAGATTTTCTATTCATCTCTGGTCTTTTCATCAAGAATGCTTGAAAGTCTTCTATTTCATTAAATATCTGTTTTTCCCCCTGAAGAATTACACTCAGTTTTGCACAATAGGTTATTCTTGGTTGTAATCCTAGCTCCTTTGCCTTCCCAAATCATATTCCAAGTCTTCTGCTCCTTTAAAGTGAAGCTGCTAAACCTTGTGTAATCCTGACTGTGGATCCATGATATTTTAATTGTTTTTTTTTTTTTTCTGGATGCTTGAAGTATTTTCTTCTTGACCTAGAAGCTCTGGAATTTGGCTATAATATTCCTGGGAGTTTTCATTATGGGATTGGTAGATTCTTTCAATTTCTGTTTTACCCTCAGGATCTAAGCTATTGGGACAGTTTTCTTTGATAATTTCTTGAAACATGATGTCTCAGTTCTTTCTTTGATGATGGCTTTGAAGTATCCAATAATTCTAAAATTATCTCTCCTGGATCTGTTTTCCAGGTCAGTTGTTTTTCCAATAAAATAATTCACATTTTCCTCTATTTTTTTTTTTATTCTCTTGACTTTGTTGTATTGTTTTTTGATGTCTTGTGGAGCTTCCACTGGTCCAATTCTAATTTTTAAGGAATTATTTTCTTTAGTGAGATTTTGTACTTCTTTTTCCATTTGGCCAATTCTGCTTTGTAAGGAGTTCTTTTCTTTTGTGAATTTTTGTACCTCTTTTACCATTTGACCTGTTCCACCTTTTAAGGAGTTCTTCCCTTCAGTGGATTTTTGTGCCTCTTATGCCATTTGGCCAAGTCTGTTTTTAAAGGTTTTATTTTCTTCATTTTGTGCTGCTTTTACCAAGCTGTTAATTCTGTTTTTATAATTTGCTTGCATCACTCTCATTTCTTTCCCCAGTTTTTCCTCTACCACTCATCTTTTTCTTTAACTTCCAGGAATTCTTGTTGGATTTGGGTCCAGTTAGCATTTTTCTTTAATGCATTGCTTTTAGCTGTTTTCACTTTGTTGTCTTCTTCTAAGTTAACGCCTTGTTCTTCCCTGTCACTGTAGTAGATTTTTATGGTCAAATTATTTTTTTAAAATTATTTGCTCATTTTCCCAGCCTATTTTTTGACTTTGAACTTTATGTTAAAGTTGGCTTCTGCTTACTCTGTGCCAAATTCCAGGCTTTTCCATGCTGCTGTTTTAAGAGCTAGTTCTGAGGGTTTGCAAGTTTTTGGTGTTTTTAAGGTGGTGTGATCTGGAGAGAGGTATGGTCACTGCTCTCCTGGTCTGTGCTCTGGTCTTTACCCAGGAAGGACCCCTGGTCCCTTGCAGCTACAAGTACTAGTGTCCCTCTTAGCCCTGAAACTGAGACCAAGGCTCCTGTTCCCTTGTGACTGACCACAAGCACTCCTTTCTACCCTGGAACTGTGACCCATAACTGTGTGTGGGCAATAATGTTGTCAGTCAGTGCCAGCTGGACCCAGTGCCAGCAAAGGCTCCCCTGTAATCTCTTTTTGACCAGTTGTCCAACCATCTCACCAACTTTGGGCTGAGAGCTTCTAAGGCTGCTGCGCTACAGCTGCTATTGCTGCTACCACACATGTAGGCTCTAGACAGACCTCTACCCTGGTGTCACACACTTCTCTGGCTGACCTCTTAAGTTTTCTTAGGTGGGAAAAATGTCTCACACTGACCTTTTATTGCCTCTGCCACTCCAAAATTTGATTTGAGGTGTCATTTTAAAGTTGTTTGGAGGGGAATGTTGGGAGAGTTCAGCTGGGTGACTATCCTTAATCTGACATCTTGGCTCCACCCTCTATTGGTTTTTAATTACTGGGGGTCAACTGGATGGCCTCGAGGATTCTGGGATGGAGTCTGACCTGTTACAAAGGGGAGAGAGGAGTTCAGCTGGTTGGCTCTCCCTGGGTAGCCCTTTGGCAATGTGTCCTTCCTTCCTGTGCAGGGTTACTTGAAACAGTGCCGAAAGAGGCGGGATATGTTCAGTGATGAGCAGCTGAAGGTGATTTTTGGCAACATCGAGGACATCTACCGGTTTCAGATGGGCTTTGTGCGCGACTTGGAGAAGCAGTACAATAACGAGGATCCACACCTCAGCGAGATTGGGCCCTGCTTCCTAGAGCATGTGAGTCCCTGTGGGTCCACTCACCTTGAGCTGAGTGGAGAGGAGAGGTAGGAGGCTTGGGAGGCTTGGGAAGCACAGGAGGGCCAGGCCACACTCACTCCTGACCTACATTTCAGACCTGCCCAGCATGAGGCAGTAGCAAGTGTTTCAAGCTTGGGTTTGGCCAGGCTGGGGATAGTAGGGGTGGGGGTGGGCACTGGCCCCATTTCCCAGCTCTTTTCCTCATTGGCCCTGTGACCTTGGGCAAGTCCCCTCCCTACTCTAGACCTGGATTTCTCTGTGAAATGGGGACACAATTGAAGCAGCATGGGATAGTGTGCTGTCTGTGTGACCCCACACCCCACACAGTCCAATAACTTCTCTGGACACTAGTTTCCTAACATGGTTGGAAAACAGTACCTTGAAGGTCCTTTCCAGCTCAGACCAACGACTTGATGAAACAGAGCCCTAGAGGGAACCAGGAGTCTGGAGGCCTCCCCATAAACATTCTCCTGATCCCATCTCTGCCCTTTTTCAGACAACAGGGGGCAGGCCAACATCAGTTCCTTGCCCTGGTGGCCACCTTCGTAAAAATTTGAAGATGATATCACTGTAGTTATATGTATCCCTTGATCTTCCTTGCTAATGTAGGGGGTCAAATGGTCTGGATGACCCCACATTGCTAATAACCCCCAAAGAATCTCCATTTAGCTTGAGTAGATGCTGTTTGATTTGGTTTTTAATCCAGATATTGACCAGCCTAATGACTTTGTTCCCATAGCTGTGTTTCCTGAGCATTTGTAGACAGACCATAGGAAATGGGGCCAGATACAGTCTGGGGGTCCTTAGAGAAATTCCAAATTCAAGTTGAACAAATACCTGGTGTGCAGGTCGGGCTCTGGGCAGTCACAGGCTAAGGGTATGGGGGATTAGAAATGCATGTGCAGCTAGATTACTACTGTGGTACAATGGCTGGAGCATTTGGCTTAGAATCAGGAAGATCTGAGTTCAAATTCTACTTCTGATACGAGCTGGGTCACCCTGGGCAAGTCACTTCACTTCCCTGGGCCTAGGTTTCCTTCTATAAATGAGCAGGTGGAACATGATGGCCTCTAAGGTCCCTTCCAGCTCTAAATCTGTGTTCTAGACCTAGAAGCTAGATTAGACTATCTAATCTAACCCCTATCATTTTACAGAGAAGGAAACCCAGGGAAACCTTGTCATTTTGCCACATTCATAGAGGTAGTAAACATCCAAAGTGGAATTTGAACCCAAGTCCTCACACTCTAGAACCAGAGGTCCTTCCTCAGTCCCTTTCTGCCTCCCACATTGTTCTTCCTTCTTTCTTTCATAAACCTGGCAGTTATGGAATCAGCCTAAGCTATAAATGGCCACAGGGGGCCTATTGCTCTTCCTTGAGGGATATTCAAGGACTGTCTTAACTTAGGCCAGCTAGAACCTCGTGGAGGTCCAAGTCACCTCCCTGGAGTGGGTGATGTCCAGGCTCACCATGAACCTACTGAAGCATTGGGTTTAGGAGAGCCTCAGCCATGGCTCGACCTCCCCAGTCCAGAAGGCCATCTCAGCTGGGAGAGTTGCAGGAGACAAATGTTTTGACAATGCTCTCTGCTCCCTCTCAAAATGTGGCCTCTCTCATCATCTGCTTGAGTGCCTCCCCAACGTGATTTCTTTCTGCCCCCTCCCTAGCCCATGGCCTTGGTTACCCTGCAAATTCGGGCTTGCTTTTCCCAATCACAACTTGGCTTCTTTCCCCTAGAGGTCCTCTCCCTTGGCCACTAATACTAATAGCCATTAATCATTGGTAACACCTGTGCCTAGCATGCAGTAGGTACTTAATAAATGCTCATTGCCTGATCTGTTGGCAAGTGAGACAGATTGTCGGTGTGAGGCAAACTGTAATATCCCTGTCCCATAGGGAAGATAGAGCTAGTCTCCATCAGTGCTTAGGGGAAATTAATAGGGCAAAGGCTAGAAGCCTCCTGGGCCAAGAAGAGAGTCCAAATGGTATGCTGTAGGAGGCCAGGGTTCAGCCCAAAGGCCAGGCAGGAGACAGGAGGTGTTCACAGCAGCACTCGAAAGCCAGGGAGACCAGCATGGGTTAAATGAGGAAGCATCACCCAAATGATGTTTTCTTACCCAACTCATTGGCAACATGGGATCGGGAAGGGCCCCTGGAGTAAGAAGACCTAAGGGAGAGAGGAGAGGGGGTGACAATCTGATTCCCTGCCTCTGATGCTTCATACCTGAATAACCTGGCCTAAGTCATTTCCCCTCCCTGGGCCTCAGTTTCCTCCTCTGTAAAATAAAATAGAGTGGGATGAGATGGCCTGGGTTCCCTCCCAGCTCCAGATGTAGGACTGAGAGGTAGCTTCATCCCGTACTGTCAAACTCTAAACAGCACTGATCCTTACAGCCTGCAGATTGACTTTGAAAACCACAAATGAATATTCTCTTGGTATTGTATTTTTATTATTTTGTTAAACGTTTCTGAATGATGTATGCATTTGGATGGGGCTGGACTCAGTGGTGTAGGGCACTTGCAGGCTGCCAGGCAAGTAGTGAGTTTGCTACCTCTGCTTAGATCCCAGAATCATAGAATGTTCCACGTAGAAGGGACCTCTGAGGTCATCTCCTCTAGCCCTCTCATTTTACAGAGAAGGAGACTGAGGCCTGGAGAGAGGGAAAGGGAACCTGGCCAAGGTCACCACAAGCAAGATTTGAACCTAGTGCCTCTGACCCCAAATCAGGTGCTCTTTCCATCACACCGCTATGCTATTCCTTAGCTCAATATTCGAATTGCCTTCAGCCCTCCTGCTCTTCCCACAACCTGCTGGGCATAGTCTTCTTCCACCCTTCCTTGTTTGCACACTGGGGCTCTGGTACCCTAGCGAATATCCAGGGGGCATGGCCTTTCTTTTTTTTTTAAGGTTTTTTTTTTAATTTTAAGGGTTTTCTTTTTAGGCAATTGGGGTTAAGTGACTTGCCCAGGGTCACACAACTAGTAAGTGTCAAGTGTCTGGTCTGAGGTTGGATTTGAACTCAGGTTCCTCCTGACTTTAGGGCTGGTACTCTATCCACTGCGCCACCTAGCTGCCCCTAGGCATGGCCTTTCCTATGCTCTAAAGGAGCCTGGGAGATGCTACCTCCATCTGAGCTCATATGTGCTCAAGCATCCCAGAAAAGAGGCCTAGGCTCAGTCAGGAAGCATGAGATAGGCCAGTGAAAACCAGGCAGTGACCCTTCATCCAGGACTTCTGACCCTTTGTTGTGTCCTGGGGCCCCCAGCCCTTGGGCAGTCATTCTAGTGATGCCTATGGACCCTTTCTTAGAATCAGGTTTTTAGATGCACAAAATAAAATACAGAAGATTGCAAAGGAAGCCAGTTATATCAAGATATGGTTATCAGGATATTTGTGTTTTTAAAAGCCAAGTTCATGGAGCTCAGGTTAATGACCCTTGGGCTAATCACATTTCCTGCAGGAGCTGAGCGGTAGGAGGCAAACAGGAGGATGGTAAGGAAGGAGGAGAAGGAGGAACAGGGCTGGGACCAAGGCCATGGCCAACCTGACTGGCCTGAAAGTTAGCTGCAAAACTGTCTTAGGGCTAAAGGATGGGCTATATTGGTGGGCCCCTAGAAGGGAGAGAAGGAAGAAGAAATTCAGCAGGCAGCATCTAGAGGAGGAGGGTTCTCATTGCCCTGACACTCTAGACCCCATTGGGTGACTTGCCCCAAGCCTGGATGGAGCCAGAGGGCCTGTGTTCCAGTGCTGCCTCTGCTCATTTCTCCCAGTGTGCCCTTGGGCAAATCACTCCCCTTCTCTGGGTCTCAGTTTCCTCCTCTGTAAAAGGAGTGGATTGGACGAGATAGTATTACAACTCTCACTCCACCCCAGCTTCTTCCCTCTTCAATCTTCCCCTCGGTTTCCTTTTTATTTTTTAGTGTTATTAAAAAAAAAAAAAGAGCCTTTGGATAGTTCCAAGTCAGGTTCTCAGCCTTATAAGAGGAAATTTGGGGGGTATGTACAGTAAGTCAAAAGAGCCCTGAATTTAGTCAGAAGACCTGGTTTTTGAAGAGTCCTGGCCTTGCTAATTCTTCCCAACTGGACTTGGAGCAAATCTGTTCCCCTCTCTGGACCTCAGTTTCTTTCTCTGTAAAATAAAGGGCTCAGACCAGTGGCTTCTGAGGTCCCTTCTAGGTCTAGATGTATAATCTCTATGTGTGATCTTGGGCAAGTCTCTTTCCCTCTGTTTCTAAGGGGCTTGGATTCGAAGGCCTCTGAGGTCTTTTCCATCTCTGAAGTTCTATGAACTTATGATTTGATTGTTTTTTGTTTGTTTCTTTGTTTCTTTGTTTGTTTCTTTGTTTTTGGCTAGGCAATGGGGTTAAGTGACATGCCCAGCATCACACAGCTAGGAAGTGTTAAGTGTCTGAGGCCAGATTTGAATCCAGGAATGGTGCTCTATCCACTGTGAACCTCTAATTTGAGGGGATTATTGCTTGAAGTCAGGGAGTGGGAAGTGAACAAAATAGTTTATCATGTGCTTGACCCTGAGGATACAGGTATAGTTCTTTCAGCATATTGGCCCTATGTTACCCAGAGCTGCATGTGTGGCTTTCTCAGAATTCAGCCTGGAGAGCTGTGGGCATTTCTGAAGAGCATGTCCTCTCTAGGAGCCCCAAAGTGAATAGGTATGGGCCTAGGTGGGGTGGGGGCTCACAGCTTTTGCGAGTAGCACAGATGCTATGATGGAGTTGAGGTTAGCAGAAGGAGGTGTCAGTGGGGTCTCAAATCTAACACAAGATTTCTGATTGGGGAGGTTGCTATAATATAGTCTTTCTTTACCTTTTGTGTCATGGACCCCTTTGGCAGTCTGCTGAAGCCTGTGCATCTATTCCTAGAATAATATCTTTAAATGAATAAAATAAAATCTATAGGATTACAAGGGAAACCAGTTGTATTAAAATACAGTTACCAAATATTTTTACAGCAACTTTAGGGACCACCAGTTAAGAACTCATACTGTAGCATAAGGAGTACTGGAATGGGTAGCTACAAATCCTTGAACAAGCCCTTTTCCCTTCCTGAGCCTCAGTTTCCCCTTCTGTATATTGGAGGGGTTTGGACTACTTGACCTCTAAGGTCCTTTCCCAGTACACTGATCCAATATCCTCATGTTGCCTCGTCCCCTTGCCTTATCTCTTTCCCCCTGCAGCAAGATGGCTTTTGGATCTATTCGGAATATTGTAACAACCACCTGGATGCATGCATGGAACTCTCCAAGTTGATGAAAGATGGCCGCTACCAGCACTTCTTTGAAGCTTGCCGCCTGCTGCAGCAGATGATTGACATTGCCATTGATGGCTTCCTCCTGACCCCTGTGCAGAAAATCTGCAAATATCCACTACAGCTGGCAGAACTCCTGAAGTACACAGCCCAGGACCACAGGTAAGCTGCCTGGCCTGTGCAGGTTGGCAGCCTACTAGGGTACTACTACAGTACAGTAGGCCAGAGGCCCTGCTCCAAGTAGAGCCACACTAGGGGTGAAATGGGGGGGCTGTGAAGGATACTTTATGAATGCCTGCATTCTAGTGCTAGCTTAAGCTATGGGACCTTGGGCAAGTTGATCGTTCTTTCTGAGTTTGTTTGTTTTTCTGTGAAATGGGCATCATAATGGCTACACTGCCTGCCTCACTGGGGAGTTAGGAAGATCAAATGAAGCAATGTGAAAGTACTTGAGAAAAGTGTGCTATAAGCATGAGTAGTATTATTACTTCCATACTGTGCTGCCTTCTAGTCTGTTTGACCTTAAGTAACTTAACCTTACTAGGTCATTCTTTCCTCTTCTGAAAAATGACTGAGTTGAACTTCAACAACTGGTTTGCAGCCAGAAAACATGGTTTCGAATCCTAGCTTTGTTACTAACTGTGTGACCTTGGGCAAGTCATTTCAACTTTCAGGGCCTCAACTTCCTCCTCTATAAAATAAGGGAAAGTCAATGGTCTTTGTGGTCTCTTCCAGCTCTAGACCTAGGATCCAATGTGTGACCTTGGGCAAGTCATTTAATTCTCAGCCTCAGTTTCCTTTTCTATAAAAGGAGAGAGTTGCTTGGGCCTTCCAGTTCTACTTTCTCTATTCTAAGGGCCCTCCCAGCTCTGACCTTCCCTGTTCTGAGGCCCCTCCCAGCTCTGACATTCCCTGTTCTGAGGCCCCTCCCAGCCCTGACATTCCCTGTTCTGAGGCC